CCCTTTCCTTCCTCTCTTCCTTCCCCTTTCCTTCCTCTCTTCCTTCCTCTCTTCCTTCCTCTCTTCCTTCCCCTTTGGTTCCTCTCTTCCTTCCAGTGGTGGGATTCAAATGTTTTTACTACCGGTTCTGTGGGCATGGCTTGATGGGCACGGCAAGGGAAGGATACTGCACAAACCCCCTTCCCTCCCCACCCCACTCACCTGCTTTCCAGCTCTCTTCCCCTGTTTCAAGGCAACCAAAGGGGACCCAGCCAACCAGCTGGGACTCAACGGGAGGCAGAGAATAGATGGGGTTGGCAGAGCCAGTCGGAGATGGGATTGGCCAGTTCTCCCAACTACTCAAAATTTCCACTACCAGTTCTAGAACTGGTCCAAACCGGCTGAATACCACCTGTGCTCTGCAGGTGCCCAATTAAAACAATAACAGTGTCCAATTTCTGGCAATCTGTGGGGCAAAGCTCTTGCATGCTCCGCACAAGCATCTTGGACAATTATCACCCTTCTACCTCCCCTCCCTCGGGCTTATCAGGCTGGTGCTGAACCCAGAAACAGGATTAGGCAGATCTGAATAAACATATGGTGGATTAAAGTATAACAATTATATTTATTACAGTAGGTGGAGAGCCAAATTCACTCAGCAACTTAAAACAACTGCCATTGATTCGCTTAACAAATATGGCAAGGAAGGTTGTTAAAAGGGGAAAAACATCCGTGAACAAAGGTCTCACTTAGCAACAGGAATTTTGCTCCGTCGTGGTTGTACTTTTGAGGACGTACTGGTTTTGGTATCAACTGCAGCCAACCCCATTCCTCCTGCGTCATTTCCCTCAGTTCAGAAATCTCCCTTCCAAAATATTCAGCCAAACAGCCTCCCTGCGATCTGCAACAAAAAGTCTTTCCGATGCTCGTAAAAAAGAAACCAAGATATTTTTAAAATGTTGGTACGTTTTTACACCACAATCGATTTGTCAGGCAGCTTTCCTGATGGATTTATATGACGGTTTAGCCTTCAAGTCGAAAAAGTCCAAGCTTCCGTACAAAACATTCCTACCCTCCTATTCTCCAATCCTAAAATCATTTTATCCCACATTCCCACAATCCTGAAATACTTTTTCCCCAATCTGCAATCCTGGTCACACTTTTCTTCATTCGGCAGTCTTGAAATATACTTTTCCCCTAATTTGCAAACCTGAAGTCACATTTTTTTTTTCCAATTCTGAAATCACTTTTCCCCGTTCTGCAATCTTGAAATATACTTTTCCCCTAATTTGCAACCTGAAATCACTTTTTTTTTTCCAATTCTGAAATCACTTTTCCCTGTTCTGCAATCTTGACATCACTTCCAATTCTACGATTCTGAAACTACCACTATTCCCACCCTTGCCTGGCAGCTTATCAAACACATATTTGTATGTTATATTCCTACCTGCTTTATTTCAGCGCTTCTAAGCTGATGTTGCTTTCTAGGAAGAACAGAGTAAAGAATGAGGTGATTTCAGCTACTGACTCAACGGTTGTATGCTGGGAAGGAAGCCAGGTAACTTTGGCCGCAAAATTTACAAGATTTGTCTAATATGAGAATTGGAAGAGCTGCCCGGCTTGGCAAGAAACTCCCTTCAAATGTCAATTCTTCACCTTCATTTAATGAGCCCATAATCTCTTGCAGGGTGGAGTCAGAGCAATTGAATGGAGCTAGCGGTGTGTTTTACTGGCCAGACACCTTTCCCGTCCCCAGTGTGGAGTTTTGTTCTGCAGATATACTGTATTCTCAGAGTGCCCAGATCTACCTCAACCTAGGATCAAACTCACATCCTCCTGATTGTGAGGTCTCTAGGCCACCGCATCACTCCTTCCAGCAGGCTTTAAGACTTCAAATTCCCAGAATTCCCTAGCCAACATTCATTTCGCCCGACATCACCGCTTGGAGACAGGTTGCACTTCATGTGCCTCATTTGGGGAACCGGTCTATTTTCAGCACCCATCCGTTTGCTCCGCCTGTCACTGAATCCTTGGCCTAGTCCTTATGAAATCCAGCTATTTTGTTTTATGTATTTATGTATTTATTTTTTGCATCTATTTTTGAACAGATAGCTCCTATAGGCCAGGCAAGGAATAATGGATAGAAACTGAACAAGGAGAGATTTAACCTGGAAATAAGGAGAAACTTTCTGACAGTGAGAACAATCAACCCAAGGAACAGAAGCTGCCCTCGGAAATTGTGGGAGCTTCATCATTTGAGACCTTCAAGAAGAGACTGGACTGCCATTTGTCAGAAATGGTGTAGGGTCTCCCGCTTGGGCGGGGGGTTGGACTAGATGACCTACAAGGTCCCTGCCAACTCTGATTATCTGTATCTGTAAACTTGGCAACTTTAAGATGGGTGGATTTCAACTAGACATGCTGGCCAGGAGAATTCTGGAACTTGAAACCTACCCATCTTAAAAGTTGCCAAACTTGAAAAACACTGAAGACATGAAGGTCAATTAATTTTGCTTTGCTTCAGCAAATCCGAATTGTGGCGAACTCTTCAGGCAGCTGTTATTACTTCTGTTTTTCAAGGAAGTGCAGAAAATGTTCCTTCAAAATAACTTTGTAAACTATTTTAAATTGGCATTATTTTTTTTTCCTTTTCATTGGCTGCCAAATCCAGATTGGGTTGGAACGGCTAATTTGTGGAAATGGAAACCAAGTGTACACAGAAATGTATAGATTAGATCTTTATTAAACGTACGGCAATGTGCAATTGACGCGGAAGGCAAAATGTCCATTTGCTCCTCAAGTGGCATCAACTTCTGGCATGTAAAAAAATTATCCCTAACTTTTGAAAACCACATTTTGCAAACTGAACAAGAAGCGTTTCTCTTGACCTTCCTTCTCCGAATTCGGTGGGGGAAAAAAAATTACAAAGATGGTTTGAAAAAAATAAAAATAAATTTAGGATATATAATTCATGAACGTAATCACATATTTAGGAGGTTTGGTTGTCTTTCTTTCTTTCTTTCTTTCTTTCTTTCTTTCTTTCTTTCTTTCTTTCTTTCTTTCTTTCTTTCTTTCTTTCTTTTTTTGATAACACAGGATTTATCTGCAGTTGTCTTGTTCAAGTCCCAGCCTTGTGTCAGAAGCGGTCCGAATTTCAATATTGTTGTGGCCAATGCAATGGTATGTCGGAGGAGGAGGAGGAGGAGGAGGAGGAGGAGGTGGTGGTGGTGTGGGAGTCAGAATCGGCATCAGAGCAGCCTGGAGTTCCGAGGGGGAATGGGGAATCAAGCAGAGAAACAGAGAGAAAGAGAGAGGAGAGACAGAAAGGAGAGAGAGAGGAGAGGAGAGAGAGAGGAGAGAGAAAAAGGACAGAGGACAGAGGGAGGAGAGAGAGAGAGAGAAGAGAGAAAGAGAAGAGAGAGAAAGGGGAGAAAG